AGGTGCAGACCCTCTCCCTTTAGCCTAATAAGAGTGCATGTGTCAGTTACATCTTCAGGTTGGCTGGCAATTATGCCGTTTCAGATTGAACTGCTAATATCCAGGTTGCTATGGTGACCAAGACCAAGAGTTATAGCGTTTGAAAGCAGCAGTTTCTCCCTTCAGTCTTCACCACCACAGCCCTAGCCCTGCTCCCTCCCCCCCTTTTCCTCCTGCACGTACAGTTTCTGTTCTCTCATTACTTCTGTTGAACTGTGTGAGTAACATTCTAGCTGAAGTGATTTCTCTGGCTTGTCAAGTTCCTCCATTTTGAGCTCTTCTTTGTTCTGTGTCCTTCAGTTCCCATGACATTGAAACAGTGTGGGTGCAGAGCTCAATGTAAGCAGCAGCTCACACACCAAGCAACTCCAAATACCTTAAGTGTGGAGTGAGCTTTCAGGAGCTGCTGCTCTGGCTAATGATGAAGCACCGTAATTCTCCTCACTGCGTTATGAGGTAAATCAAAGGCTGGGTGAGTAATGTCTTGCCTCCCAGGTGTTGCAGGTTTTTTTCCAATTAAGCATTTTTCCCCTCAATCAAACTGGCTGCCACATTCAGATCACTTACAGCTAGTTAAATAATAGGGTCAGATATTGTTACTTTTCTGACTTTCCCTGTTTGTTGGCTCACCTCATTCGTTGTTGACCTGTAATTCTTTTTTTTTAAAGTGAAGGAATGGTACCATTTTCAGATGCATCTACTCATCTCCAGTTATTGCTTGTTAGCAAAACAAGCCATATGCTGAGGGAGGAGTTGAAAGAAAATGTAATTGCAGTTACAGGGCTGTGGGTTGGGTTTTTTTATGCTTTTACATAGAAGACAAGGGTGTCAATTAAATATTGCCTGTCCTCCATTGGGAATAGGTTCTACCCTGTGTAGCTGGGCCCCCACTGATATCAATAAATTTTACAGAGGTGATGTTCCCAGGAAGTTGTAGAATACACAGTGACACCCCCCTCCCCCCCAAAACAAAAAAACATCCCAGTTGACTGCCAAATGTTAAACTAAATTTTGGATTTAAGCATGGGATTTAAGCTTCATCTTGAGCCACCACATCCCGCAGTGAAGGATGACAGAAGTTATGGTCCAGCAGCATCAAGAGGACCACACATGCCCCATTGCTGGTGTAAAGCTATTTATTTCAAATGAATCAAAAGACAACCTTCCCCAGTCCATTGCCCCCTCTGTATATGGGCTACAAAGCTCACCATCCCTAGTCAATATGCTATGGAATGGGAGCTGTAGTCCAAAAATCTGGAGGTATCAGTGGGGAAAGGCTGCCATAGAGAAAGGATCTGTCATCTATGCCAACCTATCCTTTTCTCCAGCTTTGGAATCTCCACCTTCCCACTTGTGCTCACAGTTAGACTTCATTTCCTAGTTACAGATTGAAGGCTGAAACAAGATTTCACAAGCTAGATTTCAAAAGCCCTTTGTGGTGGTGGACGTCACTGCTGTTGTCTCTTTCTTTTCATGTGAATGGGGACGTTCGCATCCACAAATGGCTATAAAATGACTGACAGGAAATGATTAGGGCCCAAACCAGAAAGCAAAGCCTTGTGCTGTTTTCCACTTCTGATCAGTAGCTCATCACTGTTTGTTTTCATAAAAAAACTGAGAGAGCATCTTGGCACAAATCCAGTGATAGAGGGGAGAGGAAAAGCAGCTTAGTCCTGTGGGATAAATCACTTATGGAGTCTTCTGAAGCTGCTAAAAGGTGATAGAACTCACTTGTGGACACAAGACTCTCTTCAAATGACTTAATTAGCAGTTTTGGAAACTAACTATGTGTTGTTTCTGTTTCTTGCTTTGATATATGTGTACTCTATGTGTAGACATGATTTTGCACCAAGACAGCCCTTGATGTGTGTATACATATTTGCTTATTTAGGCTCATACATTTTTTGCTGTTTATTTTGTTTATTGTTTATAAACTAGTCACAAGGAGGCAAAGGGAGTATTACAGCACTGAAACTGCTGCCTCAGAATATTGACCATCTTTCTTCAATATCCCACTCTGGGCCACAACATTTCACAACGCCAAATACTTTCTAGCCTAGCTGGAGGCGAGTGGGAGTAGAGGGATGTATTGAGGGCAGAAATTCTCAGGAGCTGAATTTTGCTACCAGAACTATCCCACATTTTTCTCACCTGTGCTCCTACAGAATTGTGGAATACACAGTGCTAAATATCCTGGATAATATAAAGAACAAAACTGAAAGGGCTGGCTTATGTATATACAATCACTGTATAATAATATATTGCTTCTCCAAGTCAGTATATTATGAAGTAATGCAAAGGTACTTTCCTGTGATGTTTTACCTGTACGTGGTTTTGTGTATGCTTATTGTTATGCAGTAGTGAATTTTCTTGTACAGTAACAGACATTAATTGTTAATGTGGCCTTAAAAATGTATCTTGAGAAGATGGAGATTAAAAATAAAATGACAGCAGCAATTTTGACTCTTGATTAACAGCTTGGATATTCTTCATTAATACTGTGACTTAGGAAACGGAAATGGGAGAACCTAGAAAAGTGATAGTTTTCTTTCTTTTGAAGCAAGGCTAGCACTCATGATTAGAGAGAAAAACGTATAAATAAGTGGGCAATATTATGGAACTGTTCAGAAATCTAGTGGACTTTCAGTATTAAAAAGAGCTACCACTCTGCAAAGTTGCTCTTCTTTCCTTCCCTAATAGCTTAACCCCAGTTTCCATGACCTTACCTTCTTATTTGCTGCTGGCTTTTAAAAACAAAACAACTCTGTTTTTTAATTTACTGAGAGTTAATAAAATAGTGTGTTATCAGCATGTGCACATTTGTAGAAAGAAATTGAGCTTGATATGATTGACATGGTTATCTGATTTCACACTGGAAATAACCCTTTCAGGGATAAATTTGAACTGTGATGGATTAACACAGATTTAAAATTACCAAGTGATACCAAGTCTTATAGTGCTCAGAGGACTTTGTTTGAGTGCCCTACTTTGGACCATAACACTGTGGTGTAATAAATAGGGTCTTGGAGTAGGACTCAGGGAGACAAGGATTCAAATTCCTGCCTGGCCATAAAATCACTGGAGTTGGCAATGGAAATCCAGATATACATAGCTTGATCACACAGAACAAGAGTAATATGAATGTAGTTGTCCATTTCATTGCTTTCTACATTTAATTTATTTGTACCAGTAGTTAGCTTGTGCTTGGAGTGGGGAGGGTACATTGCCCTGAAATTTTGAGGTGAGGTGATGCCCTTCTCTTACCTCACCTTTTACATCCTCCTATTGAACTGTGTATTCTGTTTATACAACTGAAATTCTGAATAACACATCATACATCTGAAGTGCTATAACACTTTAGCTGTACGCTACTGCAAACACTTGTGCTGTAATATATGTATTAAGTTGTTAAAGTGCCACAGGGACTGACAGTATAGAGTGCTATCACTCCTTCACTCCCCACACCTCTGTGACTTACATTAGAACTGTTTGCACAATTACCTGTGGCCTGCTGCAGCTTTACAGTGTGCTCATCACAGCCTGCTAAGGCATTGCAAAAATAGCATATTAATCAGGGATTTTCACTGCAACTTACTATAGTACAAGTAAAGAAGTATTAAATACCTGGAATGCCTGGTGTCCTGATGGCACCCTGATCTAGCAGAATTTACATCGCTTTGACTTCATTTTTTGTTAAGAAAAAGTAGCTAACATCATTAACAGTGCAACCTTAATCATGTTTATTCAAAAGTAAATTCTGCTGACCTAATGGTTCTTTACTCTTTATAGTATGTGCAGAACACTAGAACCTAAGTGACATTACAGGCTTTTTGCTGTCCTTTCAAGAAAAGATGGGAAGAATGGGTTAGACTTCTGATAGATAACAACAGAAGAAAATAATGAGTTAGTAGTATAGTCTTGGTGTGCAAAATGAAAGAAAATGTGATGGTATTTAAGGAAAAGTCTGTTATTAAATTGATAGATTTTTTTTAAAAAACTAAACCCTTTGCCATCTGAAGATATTGTTGTCAACTGCCCTTTTATCTGCTGCCTTAAACATTATTGTCAAACACCTTTAGGAGAGATAGGTCTGCCTCTAAGGTGCATGCATCAGTGTGAGATAGACAGGTGTCATTTATAAATTTAATATTCAAAGTACATAGGTCGCTGAATAAGTCATGCCTATTCAGAAATAAACATGTGTATACACCCACACATGCACACACACCAGAGATCAAAGAGACTTACTCTCAGGTAAGTGAGTATAACATTACAGCCTGAATATCCTGCTGAATGTCACAGTGGAAAGTGCATTGTATTACCTCAATAACAAATAATTTCTTCCAGCTGAATTTCTTGCACATCTTTCCATGTTCCTACTCCGCATCTCCTGCTATAAAGGTATCAAATAGTGTGAGAGAAGATATTCCTGCTTTAGAAGGTGCATACCTTTGTGGGGCTAATGTAGGCAATGTCCCTTAGGTAAAGCATGTTTGTTTATGAGTGATGATAAAAGGGCAGGAAGCTTGAAACCCAGATTGAATTGCATCTTGCAACAGAGGACTTTCTGTATTGCCTCCTGAATTAATTTTCCCACCTGCCATCTTCCCTACTCTCATGCCACACTCATGCCAAGGAATGCTCAGATTGAATGTTAGAAGGTATCAAGCACTCATCTTTTTAAGTAGCCAGTTGTCAAGGGCTTTTCAGAACAGTAACTAAAGGGGTGTTTCTTCTTTCTCTTCATGCCCCACATATTCCAATTTCTGTTTCTGTTCACAGCCTCCCGAACTACTAGTTGCTAGCCAAGGTACTATCTGGAGTCCATGGTGGCCCTTTACTTACTGGTAAAATTGGCGGAGCAGTATCCTGTGCCAACTTGCCAAGTGTCATTCTTCCCCACCCCCACCACACCTCCTTGCAGTTGATCTTTTTGTTGTTGTTTCTGTCTCATCCTGCAGTGAGAAACGCCGCCTGCAAGTGAGTGTCACCAACCCGGTCCAGTGCAGCATGCATGGTCGGAAATGCACCATCTCTGTGGAAACCAGAATCAACCAGTTGGAGCCAAACTTCACCAAAGATCGGGCAGGCTTTGTTCTTTGTGTGCCTGCAAATTAGCAATACTTCAGCTAGCATGGGAGACCAGAGAGCAGCTCCGCCTTGAAGCAGCCCTCCATTCCCCTTCTGTCTTTTGAACAGCAGGGGCGGGAGGTGGGGGAAGATAGTCATAACGATGTTTGTGACACACATCTAGACATCTCCCAAGCTGCACTAAGCAAGAGCTGAAAACAGCCCTTCTGCTATGTCAGCTTCAAATTTAGAGGTGACGTCTTAGCCAAAGTGCCTTTTATTAATAGGTTTTGTATCTGGCTCTTTACTTCTCCTGTGTCTCCCCATTCTCATACCAAAAATGTTTGTATAATTAATTCTTGAAGCTCAATTTGGAGCAGCCAAAGTCTTGCATGGGCAGAAACAAAAGTCAGCCAGTTTGGATCTGCCAAAGACCAAATCTTAATTTTAAATGGTGATCATACTTGGGGAGAGGTAGACTTTCTGTAATAGATGGGGGAGGAGACTGATAGCAGTTTTCCACTGGGCTATTTCTTATTCCATTTTATCTTTTTTCCCCAAAGAGGCTTTTTTAATCAACTCATTAGATTTTATTAGGCATTTGTCTTTCCAGCCTCAAGGGAAATGGTCCTGAGGCTAGGAATCAACTGCTTTGCTGTGTTGGTTACTGTGACACAATCCAACACCTTGCTACTTTGCACTGTATTCCTACTATATGAATTTTAGGTGGTTCTGCCTAAATAGCACAACAGTACTAGAAAGAGCACCAGGATTGAAGTATATTCATAAACTTCTTTCCTTTTCCCCACCCACCCTTTTGTGTGTTTCTTGGCAAAGAGTGTCCCCAACAATTATCTTTCAGGCGCTGCTGTTGGTTGCAAGCAGTGGAGACCATTGCTTCAGAGGAACACATGCTTTATCCAAGCAGCCGACATTATTCTGAGCAGCATAATCTTGTAGCTGCCTTTTGTTAGTTGCACAGCTTTCTGTTAAGTAGCAGTGTGTCCTTGTTAACAGGCATATGTTTCTTCTTGTGCCAAAATTAGCATGTGTTGCATGACAATGAGGGAGATTGCATCCAGCATCTTGCAGCATGTGAGGAGATGAAGTGCTTTGAAAAACCCCTCCCCCTGTGCCCCCCAAGCAGTGAGTAAATAAAACCAAACCTGATACTGCAGGTCAGGTCAGGTTAGGATGATTCAACTATGCTTGTAGGGCAGTGGGTAGGGACTGTAGCTGTAATTTGTAGTTGATTTTCAAACTGGGTAGGGGGGGAAATGTAACCCTTTGCAGATTCATGAAGTAAGGAAGCAAATTTCTACTTTCATGGAAAGTAGGGAGGTAGATAAAAAATTGCTGTAGATTTTCAAGCTATTCTAAGTAAGCATTGAACTTAAAGAGGAAGAACTCTTATCTGAGATGACATATTTATCTTCCTTTGTGATCTGGTTTTCCACTGAAAAGGATCACCTCCTCCAGTCCTTTCCTTTCCCTTTTTTATCACCTCCTTCTATATTGCATGACCTCAGTCTTGTAATATCTTAAAAGTGCTACACTAATAGAGCAGAGGTTCAAACAAGGAACTATTCAAAGTATTTAGCCCATTCCCAGCTACAGTATCAGAGTGCTTAACAGCTTGCATTGTAGCCTATTGTAGCTGAAAAGTATGTGGGAATGTGCATTACTGTGTTCTTGGGGGTGGGGAGTATTGTCTCCAGACCAACTTGCCAAGTAGACTAAGAATATGAACTCCACTCCTTGTTGCCAGTAGTAAAACAGGCTTACTTCCATCCATCCTCACCTTATGCTCTTTCTACACTTCTGTCTTAATTATCAGAGTGCCTTCCAGCTCTCACTGTTCACAGCAGCCAAATTAGCCACATAAAGTTTTTTAATTAGCACTTTTATATGGCATCCCATTTTAATGGCTGTTTGCGAATAGTGACAGAGGTCAATAGTATTTTCTGTTGAAGAAGTCCATATCTATAAAACTGTCTGTCTCACATGTAATGAAGACTTTGCCTTAATTTAAAGCAATAGGCAGTATTTGTGCCTTTCTAATTTGTGTCAGTGTGAGTATGAATGAGAGTGACTGTCAGGTTCTTGGTTTTATCTATAAATTAACTTTTTCTTAATTGTATGTTTGATTTTCAGCCCTGGGGGAATGATGTAATGAACTTTTTAAAATGTAGTTTATAAATGTGGGCACAAAACCTTATCATAATTAAAATGTATTTTGTTTACATAATTAATAGCAATAAATAAAAAAGATATCATTTATACCCAATCGTTCTGTGTTTTGTGTTTTGTATTGGGGAAGCCCACAGAAATAAGCAACATTTGCACTCCTTAGATTCTGTCTAGTCCTTAACATAATATTATTGCAAAATAATGTTTAAAAATAATTTCTGGTCTAGGGATAGGACAGTACTATTATGAACATGTAGTTGAGTAAGTTACTAGTAAGGATGCTGCCCTGAACTGTTTTTAGGATAAGGCAGGGATATAAATCTCTTAAATATACAAGATAAGAGTGTGGAGGTGAGACAGGGATTTGGATGACTGCTTCCAATTTTAAACATTTTTACTCTCAGTCTACACCTTTCTCTCCAATATCCCCAGCTGTGGCAGTGTTTTTGAAATTTGCTGCATGATTGTGTAATAAGTTGATGATTTCCAAAAAATCTGTTTCTGGGTTTGCTTTTGTTTGTAGTATTAATGTGTCATTCTTTAAAAATTTCTAAACAGAAACTGAGAGATCTTTTACCCCCATAGACAAACTGCAAACTCTGGATAGTTCATATGTCCTGTTAACAGTATACATGAGAGCTGTTTTGACCCCAGTGTTTCTTGTGGTGGGTTGCAGCATGCAATCACATAATTAAAATACAAAATAACTGGAGAATGGGATCAAGTGTGATCACTGTGTAAATGACATGATACTTGAATCTAGTGCTGGAATAGTCTGACTGGCAAACAGGAATTTTAGTACATAACTCAAAAGCCCATTGTATACTTAATAGAAGGCGTATTAGGATGCTCATTAACACAGAAAGTCAATTCACTGATAAAGTTTTTAAAATCAAACTAGAGTTAGAGACAAATATGCAAGCTGCCGTGGTTCAGATAGTCTTCTCCAAATTGTTGATCTCCAGACGTGAAATAATACAATTCCCATAATCCTTAGTCAACAGATTATAACTTGCTAGGGGATTTAAAGGTTATCCAACACGTCTGGAGGGCACTGGCTTAGAAGAGGATGGATTTAAACCTAGAGTTTTGTCAGTTAATTTCTTTCCTAGTTGCTGGGACCCAAAATCTCTTGAGTCTCAGACAATAGCTTTCTGGATAAAGCATATGTGGTCAAGATGAAGGAGTACAGGGTTGTGTCTATTGCCTCTTCTAACCAAACATGGAAGAGCTTCCCAAACTTTGGAAAGCTTCCATAAGATCAGAAACGATAAATAGGGTGGTTCCTGTTTTCATAGAGTTGTTTGTGTGTACTATATTAAGAGTCCTATTTTTTTTTCAGACCTAGAACAGTGGTGTTTTTTTTTCTGGGAAAGTATCTACATCTCCATAGTATTCAAAATAGGAGCTCCCTTACTAGATGCTTGGTTTTTTTTTCTCCCTTTCTAGATTGCATGTGAAATATTCAATAGACTCAGTAAGTTAAATGTAGTAGCAACTACTCCTTGGTTGAAGAACCAAGGCATAAGAAATAATAGATACCACCCAGCAAAACCAGAGCCCCATTTCAATAAATACGATTCACTTATAGACATTTATAGGAAGTAGATCACACTTTTAAGTATGTAAACACTGTGATCAGTGAAGACAGAATGTGAAACAACCTCTGTTTTCAGTAACAAGTTTCTCACAGAGAACAGAGTTTAATTTTACCCTATGTCCAGTTTCTCTTTTATCTGAAGGGAATACATTGCTGCCTAGAGAGAGTCTCTGTGGGGAATGCTGAAAATGGATGTTTGAAAGCTGCTAAAGAGAAGAAGCACCTCTAGTTAAGCATTTCCTAATCCCAAAGCCAAATGTGTTTCAGATTGTTGCACTAACTGTTCAGTCTGGTTTTGAAAAAGAAGTATCAGCAGCTAGAAGAAACCAATTGATGATGACTCAACTTCTAGTTTGTGTACTATGACACAATGAAAATGATTCTATTCCCTTTCATCATCTTTCTAGGGGAAGATGGAGGTGAAGGGGTGTGTGAATTTCTTTCATCTGTTCTGTTTCTCTCGCGTCTCACATCTCATCCACAGCTTCAGTGTGAACTATTTTTATTTTTGTTTCTACTGGAATGCTTGTGGTTCATTGGCTTGTTCTAAAGGTACAAAGCATGTGTACATACTTGATTATATCTTAGCAGCAAGTTCAGGCATAAATAATGTGTTTTAGTGGCTCTGCGGATGTACTCCTGCATAGTAACATGAGATGGAAATTAGCTTGCTGAAATGGGTACCCAGTCCAGCATCCTTAGTAAAAGTCTGAGCAACCAGCAACGTCTCAGTATTGGCCAGTAGATTCCTTGTGAACTACAATAGACACAGTCTGTTTAGCTCTTTTCTACAGGATGCCTACTGTTACATACAGCACTGATGTTACCTGTCTGTCATGGGTTTGGAGGGAAAGTTCCATCCTATGGGGAGTGGAAGGCGGGACATCAGGAGGAGGGGCTGTACTGTATAAATATGTGATGCCTGGGTGGTGAGAGAACACACTAAGAAGACACTGGGAGACACTGGGTTGTGACGAAGCAGCAGCTGGGAAGAAGAAGCTGTTGTGGGAGTCTGTGTGTCAGACAGGGTACTACTGTGTGTCAGAGTACCAACCTGATAGGTTCAGGTGTCTGTTGGTTAGCCAGAACTGATAGGTTCAGGGTCTGTGCTTTAAGTTAAGGTTCTGTGTGAACCAAACTTGTGTGTATGTATGAGTGAAACTAAGCCACGTTACTTTATTTTATTCACCTGATTGTTTATTTACCCTGTTTGTATTTAAATAAACCTTATTCTTTATATTGTTTGAAAATCCATCCCTGGTCTGTGTGACTTCTTAAAGGGAATGGTTGGTGGCAGCTTAGTGTAACTGTGTGACATATCCCAGTAGGTCTGGGTTTGTCACACCTACGTCTATGACATTGTAAGAAGAAGCCTGTGAATCATAAGGCCTTGACCTTGTTTTAAGACTCCTGTGTTAAACCTGTTTTCATCAATGTAAATCCAATTACAGTCTGATGGCTCTGTTATTTACAATCAGAAATCACATTTTTCAACAACTCTCTTCCACAATCGCACAACAGGATTTTTTAAAAAAAGCTTCTGAAAACTGTGTAATGGATGGTCAGTGCATTTTATTTTTAATCAGCACAGTACAAAAATAAATAAAAATAGGGGGAGGGCGTTAAGTTACAGGCACACACAGCTCTGTGACAGTCTTGTCATATTTATAAACCTCACATACTTACAAACACACTATAATACACAAACTAACAAAAAAGAGACCATATATAAATTAAGTAATAATAAGCAATAATCATAATACCAATTTTGGTCAACAAATATCTACAGAAAAAATTGCACACTAAAAAAAATCCAAAATCTTTAACATACACAGACACGTAGAATTTAGCAGTTTTCTGTTTTCTCTTCTTCCCCCCTCCCCAAAATGTACAGTTATGAAGAATTTCAAGTGAAAATAATGGCACACTTTTTTCTTTTTTTGTGGGTTTTTTTTTTTGAAATTTTGTAACAACAGTTTTAGAACAGCGCTAAACTCTTAAGAACTGTGTACAGTTAAGATCAGAAAAGATTTAGAAGTCTTGAGATGAAATATATTGATTTGAAGGGATCAAGGGCCTGGGTGACAGAGGTGTGAGGGCAGGGCAGAATGTGCTTGAGAATTGTGCATGGTGATTTACTGTAAGTAATTTTTTTGTACAATCAGCAGTACTAAGTTTTGCCTGTTGTCAAAAGACACAAAATGCTGCTTTTGGCATGCACAGCATCACTGTAAAGCAATGATGAAAGAACAGAAGGATCTTTCCCCTCCCCCACCCCGCACTTAATCTAGATTTTGTTCTAAAATTATTTGTTTCATATAGCAGCATGTAAAAATCCCATTCATTGCTCTTGTATGCTCAAGTATATCAGTTGATTCCCCCAGAATAAAACAATAAATACTGAGGCTCCAGGATTCTAAAGAGAACAAGACAGTTTTTGAAACCAGTGTATACACAACCAATCACATCTGCTTCCCATGCCATACAATCCCTATGCATGTGGACGCAGAAACAAGACTTAGTATGTTTAGTGGGCCTTGCTCCCAGGTATGTCCACAGGATTATAGCCTTAACACTGTCAGAATCATGTAAGTAAAATTTTATTTTCTCTTCTATGTTTTAAATTAAAAAGTGCATGGGAAGGGTGAAGAGAGCTTTTAATTTTTTGTTTTAAAAACTTTTTTTAAGGTATGGGGGATGATTTGTTCAGATGCAGGCTAGAATTTAGCCAGAGCCTCTGAAGTGTTCCAAAAGCCAGCAAAGAAGCTGACCAAAGACACTGGAATCTACAATGGAGAGAGAAATGATATATGTGCCTTCCATTCTAGAGCAGCACATAGTCATGAAGTAGAGATCTATACATCCTCATTTACTCATCCACTATGGGGTCACAAAGAAAATCCCTCTCTTGGGACCCTAAGGCTCTCTGACCTTTTCTGAATCCAAACACACACACAGTTAACAGTCAGTGTCTCCCTTTTTAATGGCTCAGATTATGGCCTAGCTTTGGAGGTAACGGCAGGACCCGCTTAGCAAACCCAGCAGTAACTGTTTAATATTCAAGAGCTCTGAGTTCCTGCTTTACCTCTAACCTCACAGCTTAGACCTTTTTTTATTTCACAGCTTTTTTTCCTGTTCCTCCTACATTTGTAATAGTGCTCTGCTGCTTTTGAAGTTAATTGCAAGCTACCCTATTTATCAACATAAAGTACAATATAGCTATCCCTTTGCCCCTCTGCTCAAATGCCAGCATCCATAATGGCAAGAATGGAGGAGCATCTCAGAATGCTTCCGCCATGGTCTTTTGTTTGATCAAGCCATCTTTGTGCCAGACTATTGTAGCCTTTTGTCTTCTCTATAAAGTGTGGTCCATAAGAAACATAGAGAATATGGCCTCCACACGAATAAAGTTACATTACCAGCAGAATTCCAGGCATGGGACTATTGGCATTTAATTCATATTGTCATTAATTGAGGAAAATTCCGTGTATCTTTTGATGTCCCCATCCCTACCCCTCTTTCTATTTACATTTACCATCCCTGAAGCTAATGGATCAGAAAGATTTTAACCTCTTACTTTTTTTAGTACTAGAAAGCTAAACAAAACAACTGAAAGTTGCTAAGCATCAGAATCAAATGTTTAGGAGGCTACATCAAATGTTTAGTTGCTGGTATGTGACTTGCAAAATCAAAATGGGAAAATATCTTGCAAGCAGATTTGTGACTATAAAAATAAATATTTGGAACATAAATCTACAAAATCTACAAAATATTCTATATTTTGTATATGTTGCAGTTTTGTATTCCATTATTTAGTCACATTTTATTCTCAAATTTGTATTGCAATATACTACAGATCTCTTGTTTTTCTATAATAGATTACGTATTTCATTCTTGTCTGCCCCCCCCGCCCCCCACAATACAGTGTTAAGGTGACTGGCTAGCTAAAAACCAGTTCCCAGATGGGGACACAAACGCATAGTATCAGCCATATATTGGGGTTCAGCACCAAATCCTATGCATAACAAACAGTTATAACAGTGTCAATATAGCTGGCATGCCTCTTTCATTTTCCACTATAACGATCTTGACAAGAGACCATTCTTCCAGCTGTTCAGTAGATCTCAAAGGAACTGTGATTACTCTGTTCTGGGCAAGCAAAATTATACTATGTTTAAAAAAAATAATTGATACATCCAAACCTATTGAACATCCACTGAAATATCCATTCCTGGGGCCACCTTTAATATTAGCCCCCATTCCATATTGCAAGAGTAGTGAACCAGTGACAATCCAGATGTTGGACTCTAACTCCCATCATCCTAGTCACCACTGCTAATAGTGAAGAGTGATAGGAGCTGTAGTCCAAAACATCTGGAAAGCCACTGATTCCCCCATCTTGCTGTCTTGGTCACCTTATTTTATTTTTCTTGGGTAGTTTAACAGGAAATTATCCAAAATCTCACCTTTACCCTTTGGCACTGATGTTTAGCAGGAGCCCCATGGAACTCCAGAGGTTGGCCCCAGAGAAAGGGATGGTGGTAAAGGTGAAACCATACAGAAGGGGCATGGGGTGCCTTTTTGCCCCCTTCTCATTCTCAACACATCTACATGTTCATGCAGTTAAGAGTCCATTTTGGAGGCCAATACTGTGTTGGTGTTATTTTGCTCAAGGTGATGTGCCAAGAAATTACATTTAAGGAAAACTGAAACCTCAATCTTTGATCCCTTTTCTGGAAAACCAGGTACTGAAACATCCACTGGATTAGGTCACTGTTTCTTCTTGAAGACCATTAATGCTATTTTCTGCTACTACAATCCACGATGGCAAATCAAAATGTGCAAGATGGCTCTCCCCAGTCTGTGCAGATCTTTTCAGTAAAAGCAAGAAGTGAAGCAATGCTCACAATGCCGTAACTGGTTCGTCACTCCTGCTCACCCTCTCCTTGCTAACCACAAAGACAAAAAGGAGCCACATCCTGCCACATGCAGTGAAATGTAAACTCAAACAGGCAAGCTCCCATCACCTCTGTTTGTTTAATGTTCAAGAAGCCGACAGGATCATGGATTGAGAAGAACTGGGGCTTGGCCTGTCCAACATCATCTTTATGTTCTGGTTTGATTTGAAAACAAAAACAACATAAAAGAAAGAAAAGGTACGTTTCTCCCACCCCCCCACCCCAAACTTC